AAATACCCTTACTGCAACTTAATTTTACAGTACTATATCCTTATATCCTTACTGTAACTTAGTTTTACAGTATAATAATATTACAGTAATTTTACTGTAATTTATTTTACATTATTTATTTTATAAAACCTTTGAATATTTTACAAGAATCCCATTGAATTTAATACATTCCAGATAAGTGACCTGAGTCCATGTACAACAGTATATTTTTTTATTCACTGTCACTATTAAATACATCCATTACTTACTTATTTATTGTACTTTATTCTGGAACATTACAAAAAAAAATGGAGAACTGAATTCATAACAACAAATCAAAGCAAAGATCGTGACAATATTGCAACAAAAAGAAATATGGCAACAAGCATCCTAGTTGGTCTTGGCTGCATGGCCTCCATAACCACTGACAGCTGATCTGAAACAAAACAGAGGGGAAATGTGTGAGAAATGGTCATGAGTTTATCTCATCTAAATTTGTTCATGGACAGACAAGGTAACAACTTGTGCAACAGCAGTTATTCCCAGTATAGTACTGTTTAAACAGTATTGCTTTTTTGCACATCCTTGTCAGGGAACTCCATTAATTGCCTGAATGTACAATCACATTAAAGAGTCACTTTATGGTCCTTCAAACTTAAAGTTTGAACTTTTTTTTTTTTTGGAAGTGTTTTAAAGTATCTTTTTAGTTGTGACAGCTCTTGATCCAAGGAATATCAGTGTGTATCAGCTACTGTAACATTTGTACTGTTTGAAAATATTAGAGCAAACAGGCTTTTGAGTCGAGCTAGAAGTACTCTTGAAGAATACAGGATTATAACCAAAATGAATACTAAATCAAGGTACATAAATGGCTGTCATCAAATTCTCAGAAATATTTTAATCCAATTAAATCGTATGGAAACTGGAATCAGAATAAGAATAATTGTGAATCAAACTGAATTGAATCAAGATCAGAAATGCATTAAGAGCTTGTGAATCAACTGGAATTATGAAATCTCTATCAATCCCCAGCCCAACATATGAGTGATCATATAAAAAATAAAAAAAACTTACAAAGCCAAAGGTGCCGTGATTCTAGGTGGCCCTTAAAAGAGTCTCTGGGGTGTAGTTGGCTCCTGCTGACACAAGAAAAAGAGAGGAAAAGAGGAAACATCAGAGAGATATTGCATATCTCAGGTGTGGGATGCTTGATCATATATATATATATATATATATATATATATCAAAACATCTCAGACATTTCTGTCATAGCTGCAGTTAATCTAATGTCACATACTGTGTCTGATAGTTAAAACATACTTACAAAGCCAAAGATGCTCAGTGCTGTGGCTCCTAAAATAGCCTTTGGGGTGTAGTTAGCTCCTGTTGAAACAAGCAAAAGAGAGAAAAAGAATTAAGTACGAAAAGTATTTTTAAAATCTTAAACGTACTTAAGTATTGAAAGTAAAAGTACAAGTAAATGCAAAATGGAAAAGAAGCAAATAAATAATATACATATAATGTTCATACAGAGCTTGAGTAGCAAGATTGTTCAGTTTTAACTCTTTCTTCCATTTTGCATTTTTGGGTACACTGTTAGACTTTTTATTGTATTTTTGCGGTAACTTACTGGCAGCACTATTGCCAGTAAGTTACTGTAACTACCCCTTTACAGTAGCTTATCGCAAGTTCATTTTACAGTATAATGCCCTTACCGCAATTTCATTTTACAGTATGGTGGACTTACCGCAATTTCATTTTACAGTAAAATACCCTTACCGCAACTTAATTTTACAGTACTATATCCTTATATCCTTACTGTAACTTAGTTTTACAGTATAATAATATTACAGTAATTTTACTGTAATTTATTTTACACTATTTATTTTATAAAACCTTTGAATATTTTACA